TTTTTTTTTTCAGAACACAGACATAAACGGATGTCAACTCCAGTGTTTGGATAAGAGGATTAATGCAGTATTTTTGTTTAAACCAAACTAACGCTCAGTGTAGACGAGTGGTCTGAAAAACTGGTAAAGAACAACTACAACCCCGGCACAAACACCGCCTCGGTCTGGAGCGCCCAGCTCCCGTCACGCATGCTCAGATCCGATACGTTGCGGCGCAGAGGGCGGAGTCTCGTGGCCACACCCCTTCTCTTTTCCCCGCCTTTCTGGCGTCTTTGGCTGCTTCACCTTGTGATTGGGCGAGCTGCGGGAGGTCGGAGAGAAACGATTGGGTAAAGTGGCCGCCTCTCATTTGGAAGCCAGGTCCTATTGGCCGAAGAGCCATGGCAGGGTGTAACTACACCATGCTGCGACGGAGTCGGCTCGCCTGGGTGCGAGGCTGGCGTTCTTGCACCTTGCGTTGTTCCCTGCTGGGCGAGCCGTTCCTGACCGCCTAGATGGCCAGGGCCAGCCGAGGCAGTGTGGTGAGCGCTGCCCGGAAAGACAGGCCTGGTGGGGGATCTTTGAGAGGAAACAGGACGCGGTCGCCTATGCCCAAGACCCCCAGCTTGGGCCGAGTTTGGGACACAGGCTTGGAGACTTTGGCAGGCAGACGGGTTCATCTGATCAGCGGCAAATGCAAAGGACTGAGGCTGTGTCGAGCAGGTGGAGCTCCTGCGGCAGGGGCTGCGGAGGTTTTTTTAAGGAAGGGAACTGAAAGAAACAAGTAATAAAGCCAGTTACTGACAGCGAACCCTCTTGGCCACCAAACCCACCTCTAGGGCCAAGTAGGGGAACTAACGACATTTGGCCAAGGGAAAAGGATCCAGGAGAAAGGTGAGCAACCGAAATCTCTGTGTAGGACTGTGGGCAAATAAACCCTGCCCCAGACATCATTCTTGTGGAAGAGGAAGAACATCCGTGGGATGAGCGGATCTGTCAAGAGTGTCATAAAGTTATTGAAGAAGTTAAATGGGAGACTTGCAAGAAACCCATCGCCCCCAAATTCAGACGTTTTTCTGGAACGAGATTTGTTATCTGGGCCAGTGGTGTAGCTCAGTATTTGTGCGAGCACAAGCACAAAGCCCTAGGTTCCACGCCCAGCACACATGCACACACACAAAAAAATTCTAAAATTTTGTCTTAATATTATTTACTTGTTGGATGTATGTTTTTCAGATAGTCTCTCCTGGTCTGAGACTTGCCTTTATATTTGACAAAATTCAATTTCCATTCGTGATTTTTATTTTGTTCTTTTGGGGATAGGGTATCACTATGTAGCCCAGGCTGGCCTGGAACTGGCTATACAGCCCAGGCTGACCTTGAACTCATGATCCTCCTGACTCAACTTTCTGAGTTCTGTGAAATGCCTGAGGCTCAAGAAAGATCCACTTTCTTTCTTCTTTTTTTTTTGTACTAGAGCTTGAACTCAGGGCCTTCACGTTGAGCTACTCCACTAGCCCTATTTTTGTGAAGGATTGTTTTCAAGATAGGGTCTCTCAAACTATTTGCCCAGGCTGGCTTTGAACTGCGACCCTCCTGATCTTTGTCTCCTGAGTAGCTAGGATTACAGGTTTGAGCCACCGGCACCTGGCAAGATCCACTTCTTGGAGAACGTTTTTGGCAGGAGTATTTGGAAGGCTGCAGTGGGCCACACTGTACTTGCTGATGTGGTAAAGACCAGCAGTGGCAAGAATGGTAGCAACAGACAGGGAATTGGGCAAAATTTCTATTTGATCAGAGGTAAAGCCCCAGAAAAAGGATAATGGTACATAGCTCTTACTTGTGATGCAATGTGATTGTATTTAATGAGTCAAAACTGACTTTTCTGTTCAGCTGTTCTGCAAACTGTTCACCTGGGCTTGTTGATTAAAGGTAACATACCATCAAAAGTATATAATGAAGCCCAGGCACAGTGGCTCAAGACTGCGATCCTAGCTACTTGAGGAGGTGGATAGCAGGAAGATCACAGTTGGAGAATAGCCTGGATAGAAAGCTTGTGAGACTCCCATTTCAACCAGTGACCAGGCACAGTGGTGTCCATCTGTCACTCCAGCTATGCAGGAGAGCACAAATAGGTCCAGTCCAGCCAGGCATAAAGCAAAACCCTTTCTCAAAAATAACCAGGCTGGCAAATGGCTCAAGTGGTAGAGAACCTGCTTAGCAAGAGTGAGGCCCTGAGTTCAAACCCCAGTTCTCTCAAAAAAATAATAATAACCAAAGCAAAAAGGGCTTGTGGAGTGGCGCAAGTGACAGACCATCCACCTAGCGAGCACACAGCACTGCAAGAAAAAAAGTACATAGTGATACCAAAAGATCAAGTCCAGTAAGCCACTCACTTTCATAGCAAAATATCTCCAAGGGACCCACGAAAACAAGCAAATGTATATGAAGGGTGCCAGGTGTGACAGAAGTAAGGTGACTTGAGCAGCAGTCTGCTTTAGAGTTGTCTTGGAGATATTCTCACAGCAAGGCATTCAAAACAACCCACACAGCTGGGTGTGGGTAGCTCACGCCTGTAATCCTAGCTACTCATGAGGCAGAGATCAAGAGGATCATGGTTTGAAGCCAACCCTGGCAAATAATGAACCACTATCTCAAACGATACCCAACACAAAACAGGGCTGGTGGAGTGGCTCAAGTGGTAGAGTACCTGCCTAGCAAGTGTGAGGCCCTGAGTTCAAATCATAGCAGCACCGAAAAAACAAAACAAAAAAAACCCCACAGCATTGAAATTAGGGAGGTAAAACTACATACGGCTGTTCATTAGTATAGGGCCACTCAAAAATGACACTGAATTCCTTACTTTCATCACATAACCAAAGTTAAGTCTAACCAAAGTTCCTCATGTTCTCTAGAACGAGTAAACTAGTGAGGGGCCGAGATGCTGAGCTGTGAATGGTAATGATGAATACTGCGTCCGCCTTGCAGGGGTTTGTTCTAAGTCCTTACAGCAGTCCTCTGAAGCAGGTAGTTAGCAATGAGAAACTGAGGACTAGAGAGGTTAGGCAACTTGCCCAGCTCACAGTTGACCAAGCCAAGGTTTAAAGTGAGGCAGCTGACCACCGAGCCTCTACTTGCAGTCATGATGCTAAACTGCCTTCACGATGATACACAGCAGAAGGCATATTTGCTTTCAACAGAGGGCATATTTATACCACGGCCTGATTTTTAATTCCTTCCTTCCTTCCTTTCTTTCTTTCTTTGTCTGTCTTTTTTCCTTCTTTTTTTTTTTTTTCTTGGCATCACTGGGCTTTGAACTCAGGGCCTCACTCTTGTTAGGTGAGTTTTACTGCTTGAGCCACTCTGCCAGCCCCACACTCTGTTTTTCTATAGTATGAGAGAAGCTAAAATACCAATAGCTGCCTTCTCAAATTGGTTCAAATAAGTGGGTTCTCGTTAGTAATGAATGAGTGACATTACAAAATATAAGGGATTTTAATATTGTGAATGTATTCGCGTAAATTAACTGGAACCGAGTTACAATAGAATTTGTGAATTCAATAGAACTTTTCAGAACAATATCTTTTATTTACTTATTTTTTGCAGTACTGGGGCTTGAACTCAGGGCCCTACACCTTGAGTCACTCCACCAGCCCTATTTTTGTGAAGGATTTTTAGAGATAGGGTCTCATGAACTATTTGCTTGGGCTGTCTTGAACCTCAATCATCCTGATCTCTACCTCCTGTGCTAGCGTTACAGGCATGAGCCACCAGTGCCTGGCTAAAATTTTTATTTATTCATTTATTATAAATAATGGGGTGGTGCTAGGGTTTGAACTTAGGGCCTCATGCTTGCTAGGTAGGTGGTCTACCACTTGAGCCACTCTGCCAGCTCCTCAAAACAGTATCTTAAGATAATAACTTGTGTTAGCTTTCTGTTGCTGTGACAAAACACCTAAGAAGAACCAACTCACAGAAGAAAAGGTTTATTTTGGCTCATGGTTTCAGTCCATGGTTGGCTGGCTCCATTGTTTTTGGGCCTGTGGTAAATCAGGAAATCATGGTGGAAGGGAGAGAGACAGGAAGGGAAAGAGAGAAAGAGGAAGGACTGGGGGAGAATGGGGGGCTTGGGGGCAGAGGAGAGAGAAAAGGAAAGAAAGAGGAAGGATTGGAGATCCAAAATACAATTGTGTGGTTGAGAGCAAATATCCTTGCCTGCCTTGGTTCTCGGGAGAGAAGCATTCAGTGTTGCAATACTGAGAATAAGGCCAGCTATAGGGTTTTTGTGTAGATACCCTTTAACAGATTGAAGGAGTTCCTTCTATTCTTAGTTTACTGAGAATTTTTGTTTTTAAAATCACAAATGAGCTGAGCATGCTGGTATACACCTATAATCCCAGCACACAGGAGGCTGAGGCAGGAGGATCACAAGTTCCAGGCAAGCGTGGCTCATAGTGAGACCCTGTCCCAAAAAAGTTAAAACAAAAATCATGAACAGATAATGAATTTTGCCAAATGAAAAGGCAAGTCATAGACCAGGCAAGAATATTTGCAAGACATAGATCCAACAAAGAACTTGGACCTAAAGATATGTAACGTCGTTACAATTCAATGATGTTAAGATAAAAATCCAGTTTTTAAGATGGGCAATGAACTTGAACAGACACTTCACAGACGACGTGTGGATGTGTGCTAGGCGTGTGAAAAGACGCTGCAGTCAGAGTCACTGGGGAATTGCAAATGAAAGCACGGCACATCACCACCTCACACTAAAGTGGCCAAGATCTTTACAACTGACAGTTCCATTCCTCCACTGCTTGTGGCAGGGCCACTTTGGAATCAGTTTAGTGATTCCTTAAAATGTTAAAGACATTCTCCATAATGGCTTCACTATTCTACTCCTAGAGGAATGAAAACATATGTCCACCCCCCAAAATATTCATACATAAACATTTATAGCAGCTTTGCCAGAAAAAATAATGGATCTACAAAGATGTCTAACTCCTTATCCCCAGAACCTGTGACTATGTCACTTGACATGGCAGAAAGGACCTTGTAGATGCGATTAAGCTAAAGGTCTTTTCCCGTGGTACTGGGGTTTGAACTCAGGGTCTTGCACTCACTAGGCAAACGCTCTGCAACTTGAGCCACACCGCCAGCCCTTTGTGATTTATATTTTTCAGATAGGATTTTGTGCTTTTTGCCTGGGCTGGCCTCAGACATAGATCTTACCTAAGCCTCCTTTGTAGTTGGGATTACAGGCATGCATCACACCCCTGGTTGATTATTAGCTATTGTTAGTCTCTTACTGTGCCTAGCTGATAGGTTAACTTTATCATAGGTATGTGTAGGAAAAACATAGTATACCCAGGGTTTAGTGTGACCTATGGCTTCAGGCACCCAGAGAATGTCCTGGACGTGACCCATGTGGATGTGTGGAGGCAACTGCACTGATGGAGCTGCTGATTTGGATGGGAATTTAGGAAAGTGCTAAATGAGCAGCACAAGCAAAAGTCACTCAGAGTATCATTCCTGAGAAAGAGCTGGAAGCTAGGGTTGCACAAGAATGCTTTCTTGTGTAGTAAAATCCTCTTTTTTTTTTCTTTTGGTGGCACTGGGGATTGAACTCGGGGTCTCACGCTTGCTAGCAGGTGCTATGCCATTTGCACTTGAACCACTCCACCAGTCCTGTCAGTGTTTTGCCAGGAGAGGGATGACCATGAAATTGACACACTGTGGAAAGCCTCACAGGTTATCTCAGGGCACACTCCAAGCATGAGTTTTGCGTTTTTCTTTTATAGTAAGTCACGTAGGGCAAACTTGCTGGCCTTTTCTACGATGACAGATAGCTTTCAGTAGCTTGACACCCAACAGATATTTCATAATATGTGTAAATAAATGTACTCATAACCCGCAAATAAACATAAACACACGAGCTGAACTTGATGCAAAATACATTACAAAAATGGCCTCTTGACAGGAATTTTTGCTAAGGAGAGGGCATTGGGAAAACTGGGCATTTGGCCCTGCCCTTGCCCTTGACAAGGGAAGAAAGCACTGAGGTCAATACCCCTACCCACCCAGCAATATGTGTCCAGCAAATGCAGCTTTTCATGGGCTCTTGGAACTGATGGGCTGTGAATGGATGTTACACCTGAGGCTGGCCATAAGGGGGCGCCACAAGGTGTAGCTTTGTTCCAGTTTCAGACGTCTGTGACCACCTGCACCCCCGGCACTGGACCCTGAGGTCTTCAAGGAATGTCTGCGTGGGTCCCCTTTATGTCCCCAGCAGGAGCACAGTGCCTGACACAGCTAGGAGCTCAGCAAACATTAATTTATTGAGTAAGATCCACCTGGTCTTGGAAGGTGAAGGCAGGAGGATGACAAGTAAGAGGCTGGCTTAGGCTACATGGCAGGATCTGGGGCAGCTGGGCAAGGAGGGGAAGGGGGATGGTCAAGGCTGGTCTGTCCCAACCTTGGACCCCACCTTCCCTTTTGTCTTTAGGATGCATAGGCCTGGGCTCTGGTCCTACTTGCCAAGATCCCCCAGCTGCTCCGTCTTTCTGTCCATCACTGAAGACTCATCTGCTCCTCCCATAATTCTGGTCTGGCTATTAGCACTTAGTGCTTGTTTCTTCCCTTCAAAAGTATGATGCCCTGGGATCCCTGCCTCCCTGTCTGTCACCGCTGTCTGCACCTGGTCTCAAAGCAGAGGGTCATAGATGACCCTCAGTCATTCACCTCAAATGCAGGGTTTATCAAGCCCTGAATGTGCAGAGCTCGGAGAACAAACCTCCTATTCTAGGAGGGACCTGCATGAACAAGGCAAAGCTGCCAGTGCCATGAAAGCAGATAGGATGTGACATGTGAGGAAAAGAGGGAAGGGACAGCTCAGCTAAGCCTGGATGGTGCGTTGACTTGGACAGGCTTATAGGAGTCCTGTTTCCTGGAAAGCTGGAGTCATGAGTGTCTGAGCACCTCATGCTCCCCGGCACAAAGGCAGCCTGCACGTCAGAGGTGACATAGCTGCCAGGGGCTTCAAGCTGTGATCATATACATTTCTTATTTAATTTAATTTTTTTGCAGTTCTGGGGTTTGAACCCAGGGCCTCACACTTGCTCTGCAGGTGCTCTACCACCTGAGCCACTGCAAAACCTCATGTTTTTAAATACTTCTATCTTCATTGCACGGCAAGAGCTGTGCATTGGTTTTCTGGGGCTGCCCTAATGGGTACCACAAACTGAGTGGCTTCAACAGCGGAAGTGTGTTGTCATTCAGTTCTGGAGGTCAGAAATCCAAGGTCAAGGATGTGGACAGGGCCCTGCTCCCTCTGAAGGCCAGGGAAGTGCCGTCCCAGCCCGGGTCCTCACTCTTCATTGGAATGGATTAGTGATGTGTAATGTATCACTGCACCCTCCGTCTGCGCATGGCGCCACCTCTGTGTCTTCACAATGTCTTCCCTCCACTGGGAGGACATGCCACCGTCTCTGGATACAAATATCCCTTATTGTAGGGACAGTATTCTTACGGGACTGGGGCCCACCTTAACAACATCATCATAACCAGATATGTAAAACATATGTAACCCTGCGCCAGGGCTCCTTGCTCCATTGTGCTAATCGCAACTCCCAGCCCTCCCTACTTTGTCATCTCCTGCCCTTGGCTCTGTGGCAGCCTCAGTGACTTTGAACCATATGGGCCTTGGCTTACCTTCCTTCCAGATCTCTGCAAGGACCTCTCCTTCCCCACCAAATCTGTCACTTGACCTATGCCCCCAGCCTTGGCTGCCAAATCTGTCACTTAACCCTCGATCCATGCCCCTCGCTCCAGCTGCCAAATCTAGACATATGGGTTTCCTTTGGCTTTTCTTGTCCCTCTCCACAGACGTACCACTGGGAGGTCTCAGTGGCCTGTTTACAGACAAAGACTCTAGAGTTCAGAGAAGTTAGCGTGTCCATACTGGAGGGGGCAGGACCTAAGGCCAGGACTTGACCTGTCTCATGGATGCACAAACCAGTCTGTCCTGTCCTTTGAGCTTCTGGAGGTGTGCGGGAGGGTCTCCCTTCTCTTCGCCCACCTTCCACCTGCCAGGCTGGTGCACACCTAATAGAGGCGGAGAGTTTGATTTGCACCCTCTTGTTGGGAAGCCCATACAACCGAGGTAGGGAGCCCCTGCAATAATCACCTTTGCACACTAGAGGGTGCTGTGGGACAGAAACCTGGCTAGAATGGGCCAAGAGCCAGAAGGTCCCTGAAACACATTGGGGTGTGATGACAGTTGATGACAAGCTCTCATTCCAAGGCTTGCCCTTTGTGACAGCTCCCTCATTGAGTCTTCAGGGGAAAATACTGGGGGTACTCCAGTGGGGCCCTCATTTTACATATTAAGAAACCAACACTCAGTGAAGTAATTTATCCAAAATCACATTAGAAATAAGAGCTAGAAAACTGAACTTGGCTCTGACTGCAAAGCCCAAATGCTGGCTACTGGGCCGCCCTTCTCCCCAATGCTAATCAGCCCAGCCTTTCCTTTTTGGCCCCTTCTAAGTAGTTTCCTTGAGATCAGCAAGATTTGCCCAGGCTTGCTCAGAGTGGGGCTGGGTCTCCCTGTCATGAGTTCCTTCTAGGAGAGGTTGGGCTGTGGCGTGGCCAGCAGGAGCCTGGAGAAGGAGTCAGGGGCTGTAAGATCGGCCTAGGATATGAGGCAGGAGGCCCCAGGGCCAGGAGTCCTTTCATTAGCCAGGGGACAGAGCTGGTCCCCTAGGAACCTGCCAAGTTTATTAATATCTTGCTGAGTCAGGGGGCTCTTGAGTTTCATCATCACAAGACTGGGAGGGTGAGCATGGCAGGGATATTCTTGACTCCTGGTACCGTCTCCCTCCCAGCTGCACTGCCCACCTCTGGCTGGGTCCTCAGGTCTGGCTGCCATGTGGCCTGGGGCAAGTCACTTCACTGGCACTCATGGAGCTAAGCAGCCTGGTTCAGGTGGTCATGAGACAGTGCTCCAGTGTTAAGAAGCAAGTGCTGTTCTTCCAGAAATTGCTGAGCCTGCTATGTGTCCAGCCCTGTCCTGGAGGCCAGTGATCCTCCATGTCATAGTCCCACCTGCCTCCATGGGGCCCAGAACAGCTGAGTGTGTTCTCCCAGACAACTGGAAGTGGGTCCCAGGGAATCTGGCACCTGCTGACAGCAAAAGCACCTGGGTGATTGTGACAGAGAGGACCAGTCAGCACAGAATTAAGTAGAGGCACCAAAAGACAGGAACTCCAGGACAGAGGCTTCCAACTCTTGTCCCTAGGCCGCTGGCAACAGTCCCTGGCAACAGTCCCTGGCTCCACAGATCTCCACATGACCTTCAGAGGGCAGGACCACTTTTTGCCCACTTGGGCCTCAGAGACCCAGCACCCTCTTTAAGGACTTGTTCCTGGACACCAGGCTACATTCAGAGCACAGTACACTCCATCACCTCAAATTCTTACAATATCCTGTGAGGTGGGTGCTTGGTTCTTCCCCTTTCACACATGGGAACATTGAGGCCCACAGGGCAAAGTCACCTGCTACTAACTGATGCAGCCAGACCTTGAACCCAGCTCTGGCTGATCCCAGAGCCTTCATTCTTTTTGTTGAGACAGAGCCTCTCTCTAGGTAGCCCAGGCTGACTAGGACTTTCAAACCTCTGCCTCAGCCTCCTGAGTGCTGGGATTATAGCAACATATCCGGCCTCAGAGTGCTTACTTTACTGCTGTTGTTTCAGGCAGTACTGGGGCTTAAACTCAGGGCCTCACATTTGCTAGGCAGGTGCTCTGTCACTTGAGTCACTCCAAGAGCCCTTTTTTTTGTGATGGGTTTTTTTGAGATAGGGTCTCGAGCCATATTTGCCCAGGGTTGGCTTTGAACTGTGATCCTTCTGATCTCTGCTTCCTGAGTAGCTGAGTAGCTACCATGACAGGTGTGAGCCACTAGTGCAGCTTTTTTTTTTAATTGGGGTTTGGACTCAGGGCCCTGTGCTTGCTAGGCAAGTGCTCTACCATTTGAGCCACACCTCTAGTCCAGAACCCTTACTCTTAAATTTGGCTTTAAACTCATTTGTTCCAGCACAGCCTCACAGGATTTGATGTGGGCGGCGGGCGGCAGGGGTGGGGGTGTTACTGGATGAACAGAAGAATTTCATACTTAGCACATTTCTCATTTTACATGCTCATCTCAGGGCCCTCACAATGGAGTCCCTGGGGACCTTGCCCGGTCTCCCTCCCCTCAGTCTCCATCCGCTCACACACACACAGGGCCTGGCCAAGTTTGTGCACCCTGTGCGTGAGGTCCAGCTCCTGTCCCACCCCCCCTCCAATCCTGCCATGGCCAGTGGAGCCGGATTCAGCTACAAAGGCCCCTGTGAACCCTTATCAGTGAACCCCATGCATCCCTAAGAGCTGGCAACAGATAGCCCACCCTGTCCCCAGTCCCTCACAAGCCCTGTTATCAGGGGACACATTCCAACCCTGGCTCTCTACTCACTGGGAGGGGAAGATAGAGCCAACAGCTTTCCGGCCAAGTGGGGAGGGGGCGCCCAGGGAAAGGAAGGGGGTTATCGCAGCAGGAAGCCCCAGGCTGGGCTGTTTCTTCAGTCAGCTTGAAAAAAGTCCTCAGGGCTGGCCTGCAGGTCCAGAACACGATCAGCTCGCTCAGGAGGTGACTCTCTGCTGCAGCTTCTGAAGCCAGGACACCCAATGTCTGCTCTCAGGAACTAGGATGTGACAGGGGAAGGGGCTGAAGGGTTCCTTTGGGGAGGGTCTTCGGCAGGTCCCAGGCCGCCTTTCTCAGTGGCCTGGCTGGCCCAGCTTTTTGCACAGCACCTGTCTGTCTACTGCTCTCCCTGGGTCCAGCCAGCACCTGGCACATGGGAGGGCTCCCAGGACAGTTGGCAAAGGGACAGTTGAACAAGGAGGCTTTAGACAGGAGCTCCTGGGAGGACTTAAGGGCTTGGTTTCTGATTTATAGAAATTAATTCCTATTATGAGTCAGGTAGAGAGTTGGATGGCAGAGGGTTTGGAGACATGAATCAGGTGGCCAGGCCAGAGCCCTGGTGATTCTATAAGTTTCCTTAAGCCTGGATTTTCTGATCCCTAAGATATAGATAATGGGGGACAGGGTCTCTGAAGAGCTGAGCAAAGAGCCTGGCACCTCAGGGCACCACTAGTAATATCCCTCTAGGGGACACAGGAGTGCACTGATTAGTGGCCCGGCCTATGCCAATCAGCACCCTGGGAGTGACACACAATAGTTACACCCATCGCGTAGATGAACAGACGGGGACTGAGATGGATGAAGTTGTTCGTCCTGGGCGCACAGCTCTCAGCTGAAGAACTGGACAGGATTCTTGCATTGATTGATTGATTGATTGATTGTGGTACTGGGGTTTGAACTCAGGGCCTACACTTTGAGCCACTCCACCAGCCCTTTTCTGTTTTTTTCGAGATGATAGGGTCTCGTGGAACTATTTGCCTGGGCTGACTTCAAATTGCCCTGTTCTCCTGATCTCTGCCCCTGAGTAGCTAGGATTACAGCTGTGAGCCACCAGCACCCGGGTGGATTCCTGCATTTGACCTCAACACATGACGCCTTAAAATGAATCTCATGTATGGCCTTGTTTAGGTGGCAGACATTCTGTCTCTCCACAGGTCTTTTTTTGTTTTGGCAGTACTGGGTTTGAACTCAGGGCCTCACTCTTGCTTGGGAGGTGCTCTACCACCTGAGCCACCTGGCCAACTCTTTTTTGTGCTGGATATTAATGAGATAGGATCTTACAAACTATTTGCCTGGGCTGAATTTGAACCTTCATTCTCCTGATCTCTGCCTCCAGGTAGAGATTACAGGTGTGAGCTACTGGGGAGCCCAGCTCTGCAGAGGTCATATCCACTCCAACCACATAGTCACCCTACATGCAAAACAAAATAAGATAAAGTAAATAACGTAAAAGGCCTGGGCTGTGCAACATCAAAGCCAGGGGCTGAAGTTCTGTACTCTCCATGGTCCATTTGGCCACAGTGAGCCTGCCAGAGCCTGCCCAGACCCCAGGTGTCTTGCACAACCTCTAGAGGCTGGGTACTGCCTTTTCAGCCCCTGGCAAACCAGAAACAGTAGACCTGAAGGAGAGGCAGGTTGAGCCCAGCCAGGCATCGGGAGGCCACGGTGTTAAGTCCCCCCGAGGGCCTGGCAGTGAGGCTTCTGAAGTGGGGCAGGAGAACTCTAGAAGAAAGGCAGGCTGCCCCATTCTGTGTCAGGGCAAATAGCTCATGATACATTGCCAGACTCTCAGGTGTCATGGCAAAGTTACCCAACAGTGAGGGTTTGGGACACAGCAGGGACTCTCGGTGCAGTGGAACTGTGATGGTGGGAGTGCTAAGGGGCAAGCCTGACCCACAACCTCTGGCCTAGATGGAGCATTTCCTTACAGCCTTGCTGGTCTCATAAGAGAGGTTCCACAGAACCCCAACCCAAACCCACAGAAGAACAATAACACACAAGTGTGGGCTGGTCCACAGTGGTTGAAGGATGAAACATGGGTGGTCAAGTGCTGGGGTGCCCAGGTGGAGTAGGAGCCAGGGCAGTAGGCACCCTGAGGTCCGGGGAGCAGGGAGCTGGCCTGCCTGGCAGCATCCAGGTGGGCAGGGATGCTGGAGGCCAGGGTCCCCGGCAACACTGCTGTGGGGTACCTAAGCTGCAAATAACTTCAAAAGTGAGTGGCACTGGGCTAGCTTGGAGCTCCAGCTCTGAGCCTTCCATGGACATCCTGCCACAGGCTGAAACAAAGCCAGTCCTCTCTGAAGGATAACATCACTGCCGAGCTAGACCCCAGGTCAAGGTCAAGCCATGACCTCCTGAGCGGGGATGAATTTACACACAGAAGTAAGTTCCTAGAAATGAGACCCATCAAGGACCACAGATACTGGAACACCCGGACTCAGCAGGTTGCACAATGGCTGGGGGGCTGCTCAGCGGAGGAGCACCTGCTCAGCCTGTGCAACGCGCTGGGTTCCGGGAGTTCACCGCCACCTGCTCTCAGGAAAGTTCTAGAAAACCCACTGCAGAAGAAGGAAGATAGTGCCAGGAGGGCTCAAGACCTAAGAAGAAAGGGCAAATAAAAAGGGTTAGCCTGATGCTAGTGACTCACGCCTTCAGACCTAGCTACTTGGGAGGCTGAATTGGGGAGGATCATGGTTCAAATTCAGCCTGGGCAAAGAGTTTGCAGAGACCACCCCCCCCATTCCCAAAATATCCACAGCAAAATCAACTGGAGGTGTGGCTCAAGGGGTAGAGCACCTGCTTTGTGAGCACAAAACCCTGAGTTCAAACCACCCCAGTCAACCAAAAAAAAAAAAAGCACTAATCACACAGGTGACTCGAAATAAACACTATGTGAGACTTGCAGCCATCGTGGCTCCTTTGGGGATTTCACAAAAAGGCAACTGAATTATCCCGACAAATTATATCAATCAGATGAGTGTGGTGTGAAGCTAAAGACTTTGTATTACTAGGGAAGGAAATTGACATTTGTCAAGTTTTAACCTTGTAACGTAAATACACCTGTTAACATTTTGATTGTGACAATAAAAAGAACAAAGTAGTATGCATTCCAGGTCGCTAGGGAGGGAGAAATGAAAAGAAAAACATCAAAAATGGCCAGGCACCTGTGATGCGAGCTACTCAGGAGGCAGAGATCAGGAGGATTGTGGTTCAAAGCCAGTCCAGGCAAATGGTTCTCCAGACTCTATCTCAGCAAAAACAAAACAAAACAAAACAAAAAAACCATCACAAAACAGGGCTGGGTGGAGTGGCTCAAGTGGTAGAACACCTGCCCAGCAAGTGTGAGGCTCTGAGTTCAAACTTCAGTACTGCCAAAAAAAAAAAGCAAGGGAAGATAGAAGGGCATGTAGAAAAGATAGAACAAATAGAAAGTGAAAAAAATAAGATGGTAGAAACAAGGCCAAGCAGACTCATAAGTAGACAAAATTCACCAGCTGAAAGAGTCTCGGATTGGGTTGGAAACAAAAACAAAAGCAAAAGAAAAAAAAACCCTAACCCAGATTGATGAAGTTTAAGAAGAGATTCACCAAACTTAAAAATTCAGAAAGGTTGAAAACAAAAGAATGAAAAAATGTGTGTGCAAAGGTGTGTTTGCTATTACGCAAATTTGTCTTATACTTTAAAAGTGTTAGCAAGAGTCAAAAGGGTTACCAAAGAATGAAAAGGTTTCAAATTATCCAGAGTTGTAACAAATCTAAATAGGTATATGTCTAATAAATTAGTGTCAAAGCCTGGCATTGGAGGCTCACGCCTGTAATCCTAGTTAGTTGGGAGGCTGAGATCAGGAGGATGACAGTTTAAGGCCAGCCTGGGCAAATAGTTCGAGAGACCCAGGACTTCATGCTTGCTAGGCAGGTGCTCTACCTGTTGAGTCACATCCCTAGTTATTTTGGGGGCAGGGTCTCCTTTTTTGTTGTTTTTTATCTGGGTAGGTCTGGACATCAATCCTATTTACACTTCCTGGGTAGTTGGGATGACAGGCATTGCCACCACACGCAGCCACTGATGGAGATGAGGTTTTACTAACTCTCCCTCGCCCCTACCCCAGGCCTGGAACCTCAATCCTCCCAATCTCCACCTCCTGAGTAGCTGGGATTACAGGTGTAAGTCACCATGCCTGGCCCAGTGATAGCTCTTTTTTTTTTTTTTAAGCAAAACTTAGGATTTTTGGAGGAACACATAGAAGTAGAACTGTATCACCAGTGTTCTTGTTGATTTTACAGGTGGTTTCTTGGGTGCTCATTATTTTAAAAGTAAATGTACCTTAAATAAAAGCAAACACAAAAGGCAGCATGGTTCTGCTACGAGCGTCCTGATGAACCAGAGTACTACTGATCTGATTCGGGCCCCCAGTTCTCTACTAAGGACAGCAGTTCTCCATCCCATAACAGCGCCAGCATTGGCCATGGGCCGTGTATTTCCTGGGTCTTTATCCAGGGCAGCTGTCTCGGCACGCGTGTCCATGAGAACCCAGGACTTTGGACACAGAGGGTGGGGGTGACCGGGTTTCCCTCTTTCCTTGGTGTGGGTAAAAGCAGTCTGGTTCCCATAAATCCTGTTGGCTCCACCCTGGTTGAAGCTCACATACTTCCTTTCTAAGTCTGTTTGCAGAGTCTCCTGCCTGTGCCTGGCTCTGGGGTGGAAGGGAATAGAATTAGCTGAAGCCTGAAAGGGACTTACCCAAGTAGGACGTGTGGAGGCTGATTGCAAGGGCTGAGACCCTCACACACAGTGACCCCCCTTCCATTTTAAAGATGCCGAGATGAAGAAAGGCACAGAGAAGTTGAGAGACATGCCCCATGCGCTCCAGCCGGGGCTGCTTACTCCAAAGCCTGCATTTTTTGGGTTCATCTGTGGGAAGAAACACAGCTGAATTAAAGGCCCAGTGATCTGGGCATGATGGCACACACCTATAATCCCAGCACTTGAGAGGTGGAAGAAGGAGGCCAGCCAGGGCTATATAGTGAGAGCCTCTCTGCACACCTTAGAGCCCTTGTCAAAGTAGGGCAGGAGGCAGGGCCGGGCAGTCAGAAGGACACATGGAAATGATTCAGACTTTGTGCTTGCTCCTAGGCCGCCATAAGAAAATACCACAGACTGTGTAGCATAAGAGGTTAGAAATACTTCTTCACAGTTCTGGAGGCTGAAGTCCCAGGTCAAGGTGTTGGCAAGGCTGGATCCTCCCTTGGCCTGCCTCCTTGGTTCATCTGTCCCCACATGGCCTTCCCTGTGTATGTCCCTGGTGTCTCTGTGCACTCTAGTTTCCTCTTCTCACAGGAGGCTGGCCAGGTCATGTTAAGACCCACCTGAATGGCCTCATTTTTAACCTCATCCCTTTTTTAGTTATTTTATCCAGTGCTGAGGTTTGAACTTAGGGCTTTGCACTTGCTAGGCAGACACTCTACTGCTTGAGCCATGTCTCCAGCCCAACCTGTTCCTATTTATAGAAAATGTCCAGAATAGATAAATTCACAGAGTTAAAAAGAAAATTAGTGGTGGGCAGGTGTTGGGGGGGAGGCAGCATGGGGGACTGACAGTTTAAAGGATGTGAGGTTTTCCTCTTGGGGTGATACAAATTGTATGTTATGTGAATTCCCCTCGATTTAAATAAAACAGAACAAAATTGGGAGAAACCCGGGAAACAGAGGGGACCACCTTGAGAAGTCAGCAGGACAAGGTACAGAGTTTAGTTGTTGATAACTGACCTCATACTGAGGTCAGTAAGGACACAAGGCAGACACAAAACAATAGAGTCTGATTGCTTCTTTGTTCAAAATATAGCTACCTTTTTACAAATACAGAAAGAAAAAGTCTGAAAGGAACAACCAAAATATTGTTGCTTTTGGCTTTCCCGTATTTTCTAATTTTTTCAGTAATGACAAAGCATTCTTGTGTAACTAAGAAACCAAGAGGCAAACCAATCGTTCCTTAGAGAAGCTCACCCCGTTCCTTGGAGGCCCTGGAGATTTCTCACACATCTGCAGACCCGGGACTCGGGGTCACAGTTCCTCTCTAGTAAGCCAGGGGAGAGGAGGTGATCAGGTCATGAGGGGAGCAGCAGGTCCAAGTCTGCCATCTGGGCTGCTTGGAAGCTTAGGGCCCCCTGCTCGCTGCTGGGACTTTACAACTGCTCTGGCTCCCTCCTTCTCATTTGTCTTCCGCTAGCAGAAGTAGCGTCAGATGGAGCAGAGGCCACAGAGGCCTCTGGGGCCTCAGATTGCTTCCCTCCCCCCAGCTGGACACCCCTCCAGACCTGACCCCAAGCTCCAGCTCTTGGGTGCAGTTCCCAGGGCTCAGTGTTGCCAGGCCTCACAGCTGGGCTGTTGGCGGAAGGAACTTGTCTCAAGGTCCCAGTGCCTCTGGCTGAAAGCGCATCCCTTTCCCACCAGCCAGCCTCGTCCTGGGGTCAGAGTCCCAGATGCAGTGACAGAGGCCTGGGGTGCACTGCACAATGGCAGGAGCAGCTGTGGGACTAACTGCCGGAGGAGAAGAAAGGCTCAGACAGCCCCTGGCAAGATGGCTGGGTCTGGGGACTCTGGTGGCCTCATGAGTGTGTGTGTGAGTGTGTGTGTGTGTCTGTGTACATGTCAGGGTATCGGATAAAGTACAGGACATTCAGTTAAACTTGAACTTCACATAAGTGAATAGTTTTTCGTGCGTGTTCCAAACATAGCATCCTCTGTATTAATATGCTGAATCTGGATATCAGGACACGTGCGAGTGTTTACCTGCAAGAGAACGTGTGCGTGAGCGTGTGTGAGTGCTTGTGTGCATGTACACGTGGGGTAGGCCTTGTGTGTGTGTGAGCAAGTGCACTTTTGTGTGCTGTCTCCCATGGAGCCATGTATAAGCGATGTGTGTGCGGCGGGCTCACGCTCCCACCTATGTGCACGTGTGCATGCTGACGCACGTGGAGAGCGGTAGGCGTGCTGCGTCTGTGTGTGTGCGTGTTTACAGTAGCAGCACTGGGCAGCAGCTTAGCGACCTTGGACGTGAGAAACCTGCGGCCAGCCATCAGCCGAGCTGGGCGTGAGCAAGCCCGGGGCGCCTGCGGGGCTCTCTGAGTTCTTGCCTCTGCCTCCATTAGGTGCAGTGATGGGGCATTAGGCATCGTCCCCTCCTCACGACTGTCCCCCAGTGTGACATCAGATGGAGCAGGGCTGGCTGAGGGCTGTCTGACCCACATGCGCACACACGTGGGTTACATAAACGCTGGACCGAAGCAGACACCAGATGTTCCATTCTTTCCTGGAGCCAGATGGCAGTGGACACAGGCCTTCATGGGGTTTTCTAGCTCCTGCCATCCCCTCCCCATGCAGAGAAGGGCTGGGGACCTGGGGACTTTGTATGAACAGCAATTGCCCTGGCCTGGAAAGTAGCCTCCCTCATCCAGATGGTGTCTCTGGAATGCTGGTTCCTCCAGGGTGCACCCTGCAGAGGTGGTGCCACCAGGTCCTGTGGCGGGCTCTGCTGAGGACCTGCCCCAGATTCATTTGATGTGTGCCCCGCCCCCCACCCCCAGCCTTGATCTTCCTGAGGTGATGGGTGACGACCAGTCAACCCATAAGCCACCCTACTTGTTTCTTAGGGTGGCTGTAACAAATGGCCACTGGTAACAATGGCAGCTTCAGTGGTAGAAACTGACTGTTTCACGGTTCTAGAAACTAGAAGTCCAAGGTGAACGTCTTGGCAAGCTGGGTTCCTCCTGAGACCTCTCTCCTTGGTCTGCAGGTGACTGCCTTTTCCCTGTGTCCTCACACAGCAATCCTCTGAGCATCTCTGTGTCTTTTTCTGAGAGAGAGGGTCTCACTCTGTAGTCCAGACTAGCCTGGAACTTGCCATCCTCCTGCCTCAGCCTCCCGAGTGCAGGGATTACAGGCTGTATCTTAATCACCTCTCTATAAGGACACCATTAGTTTGGATCAGCAGCACACTAAAGGCCTTGTTTCAACTTAGTCACCTCTGAAAGGACCCTCTCTCCAAGTGCAGCCACCATGCTGAGGTCTTGCGTTAGTACTCCCACATATGAGCTTGGGGAACACAATTTGCCCCAATACCAACGATGCTGCATTCTTGGAGCACCTTCTGACAGCCCATTCCTACCATCCCCAGGTCGTAGCCTGGTTTCACAGGGCCTTCAACTTCCTGCTCCTTATTTTTTCTTTCTTTCTTTTTTTTTTTTTGTGGTACTGAGGCTTGAACTCAGGGCTTCATGCTTGCTAGGCAGCTCTACCACTTGAGACACTCCGCCAGTCCTATTTTGGGTTGGGTATTTTTGAGATAGGGTCTCATGAACCATTTTGTCTGGGGCTGGCTTTGAACCTCTATCCTGCTGATTTCTGCCTCCTAAGTAGCTAGGATTATAGGAGTGGCCAAGGGTGCCTGCCTTTATTCCTGCTCTTTATTTTGACAAATGAGAACCTTGTGCAGGGCCAGATAGAGACACCTCGATTACCCAGAACCAGGAGTTCAGGGGTGACATCCCTAGTCCCGTCCCCAGTGTAGAGGGGAGGCATGACAGGTGGGAGTGGAAGAAGCCAGGTCACTCCACTCAATGCCCTGGAACCAGGGAACTTTAGTGGCTTTAAAACAGCACATCTTCACTGTCCTGGAGGTCAGAGGTCCATACCAGTCTCCCCTGCTAGATCAAGGTACCACAGGGCCACGTTTCTTCCGGATGCTCCAGGGGAGAATCTGCTTCCCACCTTCAAAGCTTCCAGAGGCCTCTGCAGTCCTTGGCTTGTGGCACCTCCCTCCATCCTGATGACCTTACTGAAGCACAAAGCAGAGGCTGAGGGAGTCTTGGGACATGACTTCCAAGCCCACACAGTAGACAGGAGAGCTCTGGGCCCACACCTTGACAGGAGCCCTGCCTGACATCTCCAGGGGACTCTGTCTGCAGGGCTCTGCCCTGTTTTCCCTCATGGCACATGAACTGGCCTGTCTTGGAAATAGACTGTCTTAGTCTGCTTTGCACTGCTGTGACAAAATACTGTGACCGTCACGTATGAAGAATAGAAATTTGCTGGGCGTCAGTGACTCACAACTACAATCCTGGCAACCTGGGAGGCTGAGATTGGGAGGATCACGGTTCAAGACCACCCTGGCAAATAGTTTGTGAAATTGCATCTCCAAGATAACCAGAACCAATGGATTTAGCCGTGGCTCAAGCAGTAGAGCGCCTGCTTTGCAAGTGTGAAGCCCTGAGTTCAAACCCCAGTCCCACAAAAAAAAAAAATTGAAATTAATTTCTCATACCTCTGGAGGCTGGGTGTCCAGCATCAGGTCTGGTAAGGCATCTGGGCTTCTGTGTCCCCACGTGGCAGCAGGCAGAGGGGCAAGAGACGGCACATCCACCTTGCGAGCTCTTTTTACTGTGGCATTCACCGTTCACGAGGTCCAAGCACTTAAGAGGCCTCACCTCAACCCTGCTGGATTGGTGACTGTGTTTCTGACGCAGCAACTTGGAGGGGACTCTGTCACATCTCATTGTTGACCCTCACACTGACCCTCGCTCACCCTGGAGTCCAGTTGCCCTAGACCCTTTGAACCATGGACAAGCCGTACCTTTCCTGCTTTTGCCTTCATTGCATCCTGCTCACGGTGAGATGACTATCAGAGTGGCTTTGTCAGGTGGCCATTGCCATGATTCTTGCAGGTGGACTGTAGACGCCAGTTCTTCTATTCTGTGACCTGATTACACTGGCCCTGATGGCTGGAGTGACAGGAGGTGATGCTGGCAGAGGGGGGCCGGGGTACGGGAAGAAGGGACGGGGGGGAGGCTGAAGGCATAAGAAATTCAGGCCAGCTCCAGGCTTGGGAGGCCCAGCCCGAGCGGAGAAGGGCCAGAGCCTGCTGGGTGCATCTGAGGTGTGACAGGGCATGGCTGGGGTGAGGAAGGGTGGAGGCGGTGTCATATTCGTGGGGACTTCCTGGTGCTATGGAGTAGTCACCAGGTCCTGTTCCTACTGTACTCAACATCCAGCCCAGATGGGATCCACAGGCTCTGGCCAAGTTTGACCTCAGACAACACAGCAAAAAAGAAAGGAGTCAACCACCCCGTGAGAGACAGCTGACAAGCCCAGCCTCATTCTGAGGTTCCAGGTGCTGTGAGTTGGGTGTGTTGTGTCCCCCAAAGGCTGGTGACCTGACCCCGCTGTGTTGGTGTTGAAGGATGGCGGAAACTTTAAGAGGTGGGGCCTCTTGCAAGTGACTGGGTCACAGGCACCTCCCCTGGAAGGGATTAATGACCCTCTCAAGGGAGTGGGTCAGGTCTCATGGACTGGGTCTGTTAGTAGGAGAATGGGTTGCTATAAAGCAAGTTTGACCTTGGCTCACCCTCTTGAATGTGACTCTCTCTCTCTCTCTCTCCCACTCTCTCCGTTTCTCTTTCTCTCTCACACATACTCCCACCATATGATGCTGTCTGCTGCGAGTTCCTCACCAGAAGCTGATGTTGCTCCTGCCATGCTCTTGAACTTCCAGAGCTATGAGCTAAGTACACCTTTTTTATTTTTATAAAGTACCCAGCCTTAGGTCTTTTGTTATAGGAACACCAACCACACACGAGAGTGAGTGTCCTGCATTTCTGCTTTCGAGAGGGTTCCTGTGTTCTGAGGCCACTCAGGCAGGATTTCCAATGCAGCCTCTAGCCCATGCAACCTTAGGGAAACGACTTTCCCTCTCTGAGCCTCAGTTCCTTCATCTGTAAAATAGGGGTAAAGTTATCATGTTGATTGTGTACCATAAAGCGTGTGGACGCAGCACAGGTCAGACTCACAGGAAGCACAGTCCCTCTCCTCCCCACCCCTGAAGTCATGGCAGAGAATCGAATGCCAGCTCTGAACGGTGGATTTTGGGGAGGCCGGGAATGAGAATGCCGAGATCTGAAAAAGAAGGACCCCCAATGTTACACAAACCTTTGGGAACAAGGGCTTGGGATGCAGCCCAGGGTGGAGCACTTGCCTGGCATGCGTAATACCCTGGGTTCCGTGCCCAGCACCCCAAATAAGCAGAAACATGGGAGAGAGCGACATTATTTGATGAGGCTTTCACTACCCCATGAAGAAGACGCAGGAAATCAAGAGAAATATGCCATTTCCCCTCATAGATGTGACACCAAAATCCTTCACAAAGTCTGTATCTCCTCCATCCTAGCAGTTGTTAGGAGGGTGACGAGTCTTGATCATGTGGAATCAGTTTGCTCTTCAGAAACCAGGTCTTATAATTCAATGTAAAAATGAGCGTGGTGCTGAGTGTGGTAGTGCACACCTGTAATCCCAGTTCCTCAGGAGGTGGAGGCAGGAGATCTCGAGTTCCAGGTCAGCCTGGGCAAAGTGAGCCCGTCCCTATCTCAAAAACAAAATAAGGGCTGGTGGAGTGGCTCAAGTGGTAGAGCGCCTGCCTAGCAAGCACGAAGCCCTCAGTTCAAACCCCAGTACCGCAAAAACAAAACAAAACAAAATGAAAACAAAAGAGCTGGGAGTGCAGCTCAAATGGTAGTGCTCTTGCCTAGCAAGTGTGAGGCCCTGAGTTCAAACCCCCATACTGAAAAATAAATAATAAATAAATAAATAAAATAAAGTAAAATAAAATAAAAGGAACAGTTAGTGGTTTCCACCCTCCAAGCGCACCCCCCACTGCCTGTGTGCTGTCTCTGGTTCCTGGCTAGGGCTCTGCAGCTGTTGCCAGGCTGTCCACCCAGGCTGTCCAGGAGCTGTTGGTGATACGGTTCTTGAAGGAGTTGCAGTTGCCCCTCCTTGTCCCTCCTCTCAGGCCCTGCTTTTGCAGGCTGCCCCAGGGGTCCGTCTGGGATGGCACAGTGGCATCTCTTCCCACATCCTGTGGTCAGGGGCTGCAGAGCTGGTGATGTAAAGAGACTGCAGAGTCTGAGCAGAATCCAGTCTGGGGAGCCATGGCAGGAGAAGTTGGCACCATGGTCAGCCTTGACCACGTTCACACCGCCAGTATCTGACATTGTGCATGGACCCATGCCAGGCTCCCGTGCAGAGGACACCCCTGAGTCACCAAACAGGGGTGTCCCCAGGGGTCCACATGAGGACACCAGGGTTCCAATGGGGACATCAGTACCAGAGCCAGCACCTGCTGCCACTGTCACTGCCACCCCAGGTTGTGGCTCCCAGGCAGCAACTGCCTTCCCGGGCCTCCTTAGGCCCCAACCACTCTCGGTGCCCCACCCCCTCCCAGCCCTCCAAATCCCGAGGTCTCCAAGACCCCTTGTCCACCCTGAGGAGACCTTGGGGAACTGTGTCCCTCCTGAGCACATGGGCCCAGTGTGCAGAAGCTGGCTTCATTGTGGATGACAGGCTCCGGGGGCGAGAGGGAAGGAAGAAGGAAGTCACCTCCATCCTTCTGCTCACACCCTGTTAGGCACCAGCCGCTGCCAGGGGCACCCGAGGGAATGTGTGGAAGGCATTTTAAAAACTCTGGAACCAGCCAGCCTTCTACACGGGATGGCGGGGTGGGGGTGGGGGAGGCTTTCATCGTGGTGGCCATGCAGGACCTGGCTCTCCAGGACAAAGGCAGGGTGTAGACCCTGTCACTTCAGTACAGCTGAACATATAGAAGGATCAGTGGAGAAACTGATGACTTTTGGTGGAGGTCAGGCACCAGTCTTGGGCCCTGGGTGACCACCATTGTGAGGGATGCAAAAATCCCTGCCAGAGGAGGACAGGCTGGGCGGCCACTGTGCCTGGCAGACCTGCCTCTAGCTGCTCTGCAGGGCTGGCCTGCAGATGGCAGAGGGGCAGTTGAGGAACTGTTAACCCTCCCCCGAAGGATCCTGTGTGTAAGGGCTCAAATTGTGTCCCCCCAGAAAGATACGTCAGAGTCCTAAGACTATGGATGTGACCTTATTTGGAAAGGGAGTTGGCAGACTGGTTAAGATGTCAGTGAACATGAGGTCATTTGGAGGATGGTGACCCTGCACCAATGGGACTTGTCCCTCTATGAAGAGTACACCAGGCTGATTGGAGACAGACCCAGGCCTGAGGAGAGGGCCACGGAGTGACATGGGCAAAGGTGAGAGATGCACAGAGTTAAGGACCATGGCCACCTCCAGACGCCAGAGATGGACAGACAGCACCTGCCTGGCTGGCAGACTTGGGCAAGTCGCCTGGCCTCTCAGGGCTTGGTTCTCATCTCTAAGTGGGCACATTGCTCAGCCCCCATCTGAGGGGCCTTGTGAGCTGATGATGAGAGCACTCACACTGTGTGATGTGTGACGTGTGACATTGCTGACTTTCTGCAGGCCACTGAGAGGCCTGGGCTGCTCTAGCCTCCTGGCCTCGCCCCTCTGCTCCCTCTGCCAGAGTCCGTGTCCCCTCCTTCCAGGCTCACTCCACCCAGGTCCTTCATCTCAGCAGAGACTTGTGCTTTTGGGGACCCTTGTCTGACAGTCTGGGTGCTCCTGTCTTGCGTGTCCCTCGCTGTGGCTCCTAGGGACCTGCTGGAGGCTGGGGAGAGGAGGCCTTTGGCAGCCAGGGGCTTCTTCACCCCCAGAGAGGGCGGGCAGAATAGCAGTGCAGGGTCTGGATGTGGTGGTGGAAGGTGGTCGGACAGAGGCCTCAAGGAGAAGGAACCAGAGGTCTGGAAGAGCCTGGGTGTGGCCAGCCTGTGTCCCTTGCCCGCTGGTCAGCCAGAGCAAGTGCATCCCACACATTAAAAACCACACAGGACAGTGTCTGTTTGCGTGTCGTCTGTATTGTCACATGAAGTGCACATCCATAAATGGCTAACCTTGTAACGACCTATTAGGTCACACAGAGTCCGGCCCCTGGGGGCCAAAGCCTCACCAACGCCCACAAGCCATGGCTGGCCATGCCTTCTGTGGGTTGTGGCGTGGGCACCTGCTCTCCCCAGGCTCTGTGGCTGGGTGTTGGGAGAGGCCAGCTCGTGCCCCAGGCCCTTGGGCTCCTGAGAAGCAGCTCCCAAATGTGCTTGCGGGAATGGCAGGGGTGGGGGCTGGGTAGGTTATAACAGCTGTTCCATGGTAAAGGGTTCTGTGGTCAAATAAGTCCAGGAAACATGGATTAAGCCAGGCTGAGCAGCAGCCTTTTCTACAGGACTTGTCAGAGCCTTTACGGAATCCCCAAGAGTGTCCGCGGCAGGGGCAGTGTGCAGCACTTCCCAAATGTACTGGACCACAAAGCCCTTCCCCCGCTCCCAAAGTGTCCTGCAGGCTTGTGTCCCATGGGTGCCCTTTGGAAAGTGCTGCCCTAAGGTATCCGATCACCAATGACGAGGGCTCCTGTGTTGGGTGGGGTTTGGAGCATTTTACGGGATACCCCAGACCACAACAGTCATGACAAGGAAGAGACAAGACTCAGCCCCATCTTGCTGCCATTGTCTTGCCTGTTGTCTCCAGAATGGAGGCCAAGCAGAGTGGCCTTGGTGGATGGCCCCGGCCACTTACAAAGGACACTCAGAGTCCAAGAACAGAAGCAAGGGGCCTGGCACTGCTAACATGCCTGTCACCTGGGCCGGCCTGGGGCCACCAGCCTCCATCCAAGCCAGGGAAGTTGAGTGAGGGTGGCCGGCTCCAGCCCTGGGGTGGCCATCAGCCCTGCCTCCTGCCGCCTCCCTCGGGTGTCCCCTGCTGCTCACCAGCCGGAGATTAGCATCTGGCAGGTGTTGGATGACATCCAAACCAGCTCCACCAGGCGGAACTGGAAGTAGCCAAAGATGAAGCCCGAGACGACGTCGGTGATGTGGTGACGGCCGATCATGACGCGCGACAGGCCCACGCAGAACGCCCAGAGCACCAGCAGCACGCGCAGGGGCACCGCCAGCACCAGGTGGCTGAGGAAGAACTTGGACACCATGGCAGCGCGGCTGGCGTGCCCGGCGGGGAAGGCGTAGATGTCCATGGTGAGGTAGTCCAGGAGGTTGGGGCTTGTCTCGAACGGGCCACGTCGCTTAATGAGCTTCTGGACTCCAGCTACCATCATGATGTCCAGCAGCAGGGCTGTGGACAGAGGGCAGAGGGCCAAGATTGTCAGGGCCCCTTCCGACCTCACCCACCCGAGCCTTGCACACCTCGCTCAGCCACGCTGACCTCTGAGGTGGGCAGGTTCCAACCCCAGGGCCTTTGTACCTGCTGTTCCCACAGGAAGGGACAGCCTTTCCCTCCAATAGCCCCTTCCCTTCAGCTGAGAAGCCATTGCTGACTGCACTGCTTGTAAAAGACCCCTTCACCTCACTTCACTCCTATTTTCCTCTCATCCCTCCCCTCCCAGGACCGTTGATGAGAATGGGGACGCGTTTTGTTCATGCTGGGAGGCTGTTAACAAAGGCACTGGAGGCGCCAGGACAGCTCTTTCTCGCTAGGCAAGTGCTCTACCACTTGAGCCATGTCCTGGTCCTTTTGTTTTTATTTTGTTTTTTTAAGACAGAATTCCAACAACTTGGCCCAGGTTGGCCTTGAACTTACAATCCTCTGTCCTCTGCCTCTGAAGTAGCTGGGATTATAGGTGTGCACCACCACACCCAGCTCATCCCCATTTTTAGAAATTTGAAGTGAAAGTCACATTCACACAATTGTCAATTGTGTTAGAGCGCACAATTCAGTGATATTCAGTGCTCACAGCCAGCACCTTGGTTTAGTTTCCTGTACCCGTGAAGCAGTCAGTCCTATCCCCCTCCCTCCAGGCCCCCCAGTCTGCTCTCTGCCGCTGTGGAGAGCACAGCTGAGTGGCCTTCTTGCCTAAGGCCTCTTTTCCTTATCACAGTGTTTCCAAGGTTCATTCACATGGTACATGGATCAGCGCCCCATTCCTTTTTATGGCTGAATACTATTCCATTGGATGGACATGCCACGGTCTGTTACCAAAAGTGGACGTTGGCTTGCTTCCACTTTTGGTCGTGAACAGTGCTGCAGTGTCTATGTGTTTCTTGGGCCCCTGCTTCCAGTTCTTTGCGTGTGTGGGTGCTGTGGCAGAACCTGAGGGCCTTAAGCATGCCAGACAGGCACTCCACCACTGAGCCACACCCCAGTCCTTTTTGCTTTAGTTATTTTTCAAATAGGATCTCACATTTATACCGGGGCTGGCCTGGACTATGATTCTCCTGTTTATGCTTCCTGCACAGCTGGGGTGACAGGCGTGTAACACCACACCCAGCTACTGGTTGAGATGGGGTCTCGCTAACTTTTTCCCCAGTCTGGCCGTGAACCTAGATTCTCCTGATCTTTACCTCCCAAGTATCTGGGATTACTGGAGAGCACCATCACCTCCTTCAGAAAGTTTTGTTTTGTGGTGCTTGTGCAGGCCAGGCAAGCGCTGTGCCCCGGAACCATGCTCCAGCCCTGCTTCACACCCACTGGT